TGTGAAAGCTGGTAGAAGCATCTATCACTGATACAGCTTCCCTGTGTGATGAGAGGCTGCGACGCCAGAGCGGGAAGCAGAAGCTGTGTGAAATATTTAAATGTTCTTGTTTATTTCTCTGCTTTTATTTCCAAATGCTAGCCTGAAAATTTATGAATTTTCTGCACATATGAAGAAAAAAACAACAGTTTATTGAATGATTTATTCAAGTTTGTAATAAACAATAACAACTCAAAAAGAGCCTAAAAGAGGAACTAAAACCACAAGATCAACTCTGACAAACACAAATCAGCAGCATGGACAGAGCAGTGGTTTCCATGGACATCTTTGTGTGTGTGTGTGTGTGTGTGTGTGTGTGTGTGTGTGTGTGTGTGTGTGTGTGTGTGTGTGTGTGTGTGTGTGTGTGTGTGTGTGTGTGTGTGTGTGTGTGTGTGTGTGTGTGTGTGTGTGTGTGTGTGTGTTGTTTACACAGTCACTCTGCAGGAAACCAGTCATCCATCTGCAGAGGAACTTTCCGTCGCCAAACACTCAGACTTTGCAGGTATCATGGCTTTTGTGACAAACGAGGAGTTTTATGTTTTTCTCTCAAAATTAGTTGCTTTACATTTTTTTTCTGATGACCGACCTTATCCAACCATGCTGTAAAATGATAAATGCACAAAATGTCATTTTAAAAGATGTACTGAAAATGGCCCAAAGTGTAGCTTTGAGCTCTGGGTTTGGTCAGAATCTTATCGAGTGGAAATAAAATAATATGCATTAACCAGAATGTTTTCATTTACCACAATCAGTTTGTTCTAACCAGAATTTGGAACCAGTCGTTTCCCGCTGAGGAAGTTTGTCCTGATAAGAATGCTGAAATTAATCTTGTAAAACACTGAATTTATGATTTTTGCAAGTTGTGTTAGTTGAAGATGCGTGGATGTGGTTTTGCTGTGAGAGAAAAAATGATTAACACAGCTGAAACACTTCGTGTAGAGGCTCTGTGGTTTTAGGGTTGCCATGACTACACTTCAGCTATAGTGACAGGACAAATGTTTATCTACACACTTGAGACTAGAAATAAGAAGTAAAAATGCTAGTTACAAATTTGGAGCACAGTAGTCATTATTAAAAACTACACATCAATAAAATGAACATTATTTAAAAGTTTAGTAATGTATTCAATGTGTCAAATTGGAGTGTGTGTGTGTGTGTGTGTGTGTGTGTGTGTGTGTGTGTGTGTGTGTGTGTGTGTGTGTGTGTGTGTGTGTGTGTGTGTGTGTGTGTGTGTGTGTGTGTGTGTGTGTGTGTTTCATCCTTTGATGCAACAGGATCCTTGTCCAGATGTGGGAGGAGCCTATAAACAGGAACCAGAGATCACTGTCTCTACTCTCATCCAGATGCTGCAGGCGTAGAAGCTTCAGGTGCAGCAGCTCCCTCAAACCCCCGTGGCCTTACAGGGACTCATTCTGAATTCCATCTGCTTAATTATTCAGTGTCTCTGCAAGTGTTTTAGTCTGTTTAACACTTATTTTTAAAATGCTTGGTTTTTCTTTTATTTACAGCCATCAACCTTGTGAAAAAAACTTTTCAGATTAAAAAAAAAGACATCACATTTTTCACATGTCCCTTGTTGGTGTTGACTCGGTTTAATGTTGTTAACTGCTTCATAAAATTATGGAAAACAGCCTACATTTTAGTCTCATTTCCATATTCATGCTCCTGTCATTCAGGGGTCATGTGTCACCCAGGTTGCAGAAAAAGAGTTGGCTGGAAAATACATGAAAAACAAGCTAATTTGTTCCAGTAATTTACCCACAGTTGCTTTGAGACACCTGGTTAGCCAAGCAAAGACCTTTTTGATCAGTGGATGAACATTTTGCTCTTGAATTGGTTTTGAGGTCAATGTGATTTGTATTTTCTCATAGCCTCTATATCACATATACACCAATTCTCATCAGGTATGTATGAATGTTGCTTTAACAGTTTAGTGCAAAAATGTTTAAAACTTGTTAAACCTGTAAAATGAGACAGCACCAGTCTCAGCAAATCCTCGCAGCACCATTGATGCAAAGATTAACTACATGACCGGAAATTGACTTTCCCTTCAGAATAAAAGCACGGATCACCCTTGAGCAAGTAAAAAAGCAACTGATGAGATTTTTCTTAGTTTTATTTTTCATAGTTGGTGAACTTTGTTTTATATTTGCAAGCATGTTTACTTTCAAATGATAGTCAGATTTTAACTCTGGTTATTATAAATTAAATCAAATTTAGAGTTGTGGTTGACTGAAAAAAACTTTTTTAAAATAATTTCTGGTCATAATCAGTCACTCTGAGTTCTGATAGAAAATAGATAGTGAAACTCTAGGATTTGAAAATCCTCACAGATCTATGTCACAATGTCACTTAGTATTCCTGGACTCACCCATCATAATTCAACGGGGAAGTCTGTTGTTGGTTTAGTGTCCAGGAATCAGCAGAGAACGTCTCATCTGGTAGAAGCTAACCGTTAGCATTAGCAACTCCACCACACAGAACTGTAGGCTGGTGTTATTTGCATTCTGGACAATTAATGTCATAGGCTCAAATTATAAGTTTTTTTCCCAAATGGGAGGTCCCCACCACCGCCATTTTGACCACGTCACCGGTCCTGTCACACCTAGACTATCCAAAAATGGGAGAAGAGGTGGAGCTGAGGGTGGGGCTGTTACTTTTGGAACAGGGTTGGAACAAATGAACCAGTGTAGCTACTAGCTAACTTAGCTAACCAAAGAAGCTAAGAAGTGCTCCTTGGACTGGGGTTTCCACCCGCATGGCAGACTGGCTCCCGTGTGAGGCTGTAGTCATTCTGGTCGCATGTGGAGATCTAATATGGACTGGGACTGTTAAATTACAAGGGGAGCCTCAGACCGCTGCTGTCGTAACTGGGCACCATGGCCTTACATCAGCTTTTGCTCCACGGTCAGAGAAAAGTGGGACATTAGCTACATGCTAACCCAAAGCTAACAGAGTTTTACCAGCCGTTTTCAGCAAGGAAAATATGGTAGCGCTACTCCAAAGTAAAGGCACCTCCAGCCTGCTTAGTAACAAAATCATAACTAGGTAAGCTGACCGAGGATATCGGGCTTCATTGGTCCACTGCAGTGAAAGATCTGTGCGTCCGCCGCTGTTTATGTCCCCTTCTCTGGAAGCCGGATATCAGCGGGACGTTAGCTACATACTATCCCAAAGCTAACAGGGTTTTTCCGGGCGTTTTCAGCGAGGAACATGTGGTTGAGTGCTCAAAAGTGAAGCAGCTTCAACAAAAAGAGATCCACTATTGACCAGCATGAATACAACCTCGCTTCGGAGCTGACCTGGCTGCCCCTGGATATGGAAACAGGCAGCCGCCTGCTATTCTCAGGCAGCAGGTCAGTAGAAGCTGGGTGACACGACGTGCGGGTGTGGTGAGCGAAGGTGAGGATCCAGTTGCAGGGGAAGACGCAGGCAGACAGGGACATTAAAACGAGGATTTAATAAGGAACACGCTGGACATAAAACAATGAACCGACAAGACAAAAAGGACGACAGGGTTTAAATACAGGAGGAGCTGGGACCTTGGGTGATTGGGTGATGAGAGGCAGGTGGGAGCCATTGACATGGACACAGGACTGAACAGAATGGGGAGACAGGACAGAGTGTGACACTGGGCACCCGCTAAAAGTTCTTATGGAGCCCCACTAACATGTTTGACCAAGCAGTTAAATGACAGCATTTACCCCCCATTCATCCAGCAAAATAAAGAACAGAAATATAAATTTACTTACTGATAAAAGAAGCAGAAACTTTTCGGATGATCTAGTAACTACAGATTGCCCTTTTGTCCAACTCATTCCATGATTAACATCTAAACACACACACACACACACACACACACACACACACACACACACGCACACACACACACACACACACACACACACACACACACACACACACACACACACAAAACTAAAGTTCAGAGAGTTGAAATGGCCGAACATCTATTAACGTGAGGCTGAGGACAGGAGCTAGCTCTGAAGTCACATGGCTCTGATGCTCATTAATTATTCAGATGTTTAAGCATTAAATTCCATTTAAACAGAAGAGTTACAGAAAATTCACCCCTTCAGAGTTGTCATGAATGTAAACTAGATCTATTAAACCTAAAATGGGTTTTTGAAACAGCCTGTAAACATGTTTATTTCTGCTGTGAAAATAGAATTTTTAACAAGGGAGTCATGTGCTCACTTCCGCTGCCAGACCCTAGCGGATGAGGGTGTAACTGCAATTTTTGCCACTTCTTTTATGGCTCCATATTTGCTGCAGAATTGTGGGGGCTTGGTTATTTGAGATAAAATTTCAACTCCGCAGAGCAAACAGAGTCAGAGTCGCATTGCTGTTAGGCAACCCAAGGTGAGATGTCCAAATTTAGGGTCTCTAATCAACATGACAGACATCTTTTGGGAACAGACATCTGTGGGAGGAGACCCGAGTAACCGGAGAAAAACTATGCATGAAGAGAACATTGTAACCCTGCACAGGCAAGATTCAAAACAGCAGATGTTCCATCCCTAACATGCAGCCTCAATTTCTTTATTTTTATTTTGTGGAATTAAATTAAATTAAAACGGAGATTGTGCTGAATTTTCAAAGCAGCATCATATTAACAAATAATACCTGTTTCATTTCACCTCCATCAAACGCTGACTTACCCTTTGGGTAGACTTAACTCCATTGATCATGAAGTTTCTATTTAAATGGGGAAAAAACCTGTTAGAATACACCACTGTAATCGTTATCACCTTTTCATAGCCTGTTGACATTCTTTTTTTAAATAAATAATACATTAAAAGGCTACATCAAACAATTAGGCTACGTGGTTTAAATATATCAACTAGAAGAAGAAGGAGATCGTGCTTCTTCCTGTTAGCTAAACGACTTTTATTTTTTAAACCTGCAACCGGAAGTGGCTTTAATTTGTTAGCTTGGCGAAAGTGTGAACAGTCTCCTGCCTCCTCCGCTGCCTTCCCCACTCGGCTCAGATCGCAAGCAGGTGCACTTGACGGTTCCGTGTCTCCGTGGCGCAGGACAGCACGGACACCCCGCCGACAGCAACGCACCTCTTCACGGCACCAGTCCTCCCAGAGGGTCCGCTGATCGAACCGGGACTTGTGGCTCAGCTAACAGCAGCTTCCCGATCTCTCCTCATCACTCGGGACTTCTCCCACTCATGCCGCTTGACTTCACTCGTTAGCGTCGATTAAATTGGGAGTATACTGGTTTTAACGTGGAATCGAAGATGGGGATCAAAGTGTAGCGCTGGTGAGTGGACAACAAAAGCAACAACTTCCTCATTTGCATATTCAGTTTGCTTTAGCTGCCCGCAGCTCGTGTGTTGTTGTGTTCATGCACCTGGGCGTGAGGTAGAACGTACCGGTGTGCTGAGATCACAGCTGGAACTTTACTGGAGCGGTGAGGACATTGACATCTTAATCAGTCTCGTGTTAGCCCGTCGCGCCCCTTGCATCACTTTACTACCATCACGGTGAGTCAGCGGGTGTCTGATGAAAGGATCCAGCCTGTCTTCTGCCGCTGACACGTGTAGCCTATGTGGTGTGTGTGGTGATAAAACAGTAGCTCAGACATGATGATAAATAACAAACCCGATCATGAAATGGGCGATTTTTTTAATTCTCATGTTTATTTATGCGAGTGTCTGTAGAAAATTAGCATTTCTGCTTGTTGGAAGGTAGAATAAACAGTTTTATAGAATTAAAAAAGAGGAAATCCACATCATCCACTTAAGCACCCTGAAGCTTTTTCACCTCAGGGTGATGCAGCATCTTTCCCAACACAAGCCAGGAGGATTTGCTATCTGCCTCGTGCAGCTTACTGCAGCCAGGATGAAAGTAAAACCTGTTCTGTCAGAAACCACTTTGGTGGGAGGAAATTCTCATCCAGGTTGCTGATATTGCTGGTAAAGCCACATCTTCTCCTGTAACTTACTCCCACGCCCTCCTCTTCCGTGCAGCAGCTGAACCTCCCCCTAAAGCCACTCCAGAAGTCAAACACCAGTCACATTTCAGCTGCAGCTTCTCTCTCTAAGCATTTTGCTTTTTTTTTACTGCATAAATAAACCTGAAACTGAAGTTAAAGGAGGAGCAGGCAAACATGTAAACCAACATGCATTCTGCTCGTTCTGTGTCACGCCTGCAGCTTTGGAGGGAAATCCCGTTTACCCACGGATAAACGGTTAATAGTTCCAGTCCAGTCGTATCGTTATCGTCCTCTGCTCTCCGATGATGGAGAGGCTCTTTGTTCAGCCTCCTCTTGGGTTTTGCCGCTTCACTTGACCTTGTCTGGGCTCACACCATACAGGCTTGCTTTCCTCAGCAGTATAAGGGGATTTAAATGGAAAAAAGCACAACTTGCACTAACAGCACTGAAGACAGGGGTCCTGCAAGTATGAGCCACCAGAGCAGAGGTCGGCCAGAAGTCACCCAGGAACAAGTGTGCAGCAGGTAGAGACTGCAGGACGGATGTTTTACTCTAAAAGAAGTCTGCTGAGAATAACAGGCGTGCCATTAATGAGGGCATTGTTTGGTCTGATGCTGCATTCTGATAGGGAGGCAAGTACAGGTGTGGAGGCGGGCAAGGATGGGGGTCTGTAGGTCAGCTGGGACGTAAACAGTAGCTGCTGGTCGGGTAGCAGTGACAGCTTTATTGCTACCAGGAAGTTTATGGCTGTGTGTGTATGGGGGAAGGGCATTGTGTGTGTGTGTGTGTGTGTGTGTGTGTGTGTGTGTGTGCGTGTGTGCGTGTGCGTGTGTGTGTGTGGTAATCATAGCTCGGTTCCTATTGTATTCTTCTCATGGGACATAATTCCTCCACTGTCTTTCAAACAGAAATCTGCTGCTTGCGTCTGATTGGTCGGTCAAGTGTCTGATTACCTGTTTATGTTATTAAAAATGTAATGGTATCAAAAAATCTTAATAAAATTTCTGAATAAAATATGAAACCACTTCCTTGTGTTGCAGCTAAATTAACTTTATTCCACAATCTCCAGTGATTTTCCACTTTAGTAACTGTCTGAGCCATGATGTAATACCTATAACCTGTAAAGTAGTAAAAAGGCCCAAGCTAAATACAAATGTTGTAGCTGTTGCTAGTGGTCTATTACTGTCACCACGGTAACCACACACTATCTTTTGACAGCAATCTTTGTGAAACAAGCAGACAGAAATCAAGGGTAGAGATGTGTGTGTGTGTGTGTGTGTGTGTGTGTGTGTGTGTGTGTGTGTGTGTGTGTTATTATTTTTTTTATTAGAAGGGGTTGACTAGTTGAGTAGACCATTCACTTTAGGTTTTACAGCCAATATGGTGAGCTCAGGTTAAATGGAAGTCAGTGAGACAACAGGAGGTACAAACACACACACACACACACACACACACACACACACACACACACACACACACACAGCGACACCTTGGAGAGGTTGCATACTACATGTTTAAAAACAGCATGACAGCAGTAGGGAACAAGGATGCTCCACAGTAAAAAAAGACTGAATACATCAGCTGACAAAGTGGCATTAAATTAGTTTAAAAGAACGCAACAAAAGTGAAATGACTCAAACTGTGAATAAAACACCTGCCTGAGTAACACACCGGGTGAAAAAAGATACTTGTAGTATGGGTTGTTTCCAAAACTGCAAAAGGAATCAAAGTATTGTTGTTTTTTACTCTTCACACAACCGTCTCTCTTACTCCCGAGGAGCTTGACCAACTGACGGCCCTAACATTGTGATAGCACGAACATCTGACAGGCTCTCGGATGTGCTGTGGCTACATGGCAGCTCTGCCACTGACTCGGGGGTGACAGGGCTGATCTCGCTGGCAGGTCGTGCCAGATGAACCACTCAAAGCCATTTCTTCTGTCACAAGGCAGAGACACAAAGAGGGAGGGGAAACAAGGGGATTTTGGTGAATTACAAGTGAGAGGAGGGGAGGATGTCACAGTGGAGACTCGGCAGGCATCTAATTACCTCCCAACTGGAGCCTTGACTCCATGGAAACGGCCAGCGCTCTCCAGAGCTGCACTTGCCTCTGTGCCTGTGTGCGGTCATATGTGCAGTTATTGACAGTCAGCCTTTATAGATGGGCCAGGGTCAAAAAAGCAATGGACTGTGATTAGATCCCTAGTGTGTCGAGTAAACCCACAAAGCAGGATTCAAGGATATGTCGTTAGAAATAAATTCACAGAAATGAAAGGAGCCTATTTTCTGACTTCAGGTAAATGGGTTTATCACCCTTCCTCAATAAGAAAGTTTCTAGAATGCCCCTTGTGAGCATTGTTGTTGTAACAGCTTTACGAAGAAACTCTTGTTTTTGTTTACTAGTACATTTTGGTCCTAAACTACAATAACTGTGTTGTTCCTACACTTTCCTTAGACTGAAGTTGCACGTGCAATCAGATTATGTTGGACAAGACACCTTTGCCATGGGTTGAGTGGCACAGCTAAACATGTGGGTAGAGCACGAACATTTTTCCATAATCCCCTGCAACATTTGTGTGTAGGACTGCATCATACACACATGTGGCTATAAACATTGTCTCTCTACATATCTGATAGCATCCATAGCCACGGATTAAAGGTGTAGTTTGGGGGTTTTACAAGACTGGCCTATCACATATCACGGTCAGTGAGTATGCTTTTGGCTATCTAAGAGACGCCATGCAGCTTAGGTCAAACAATCCCATAGTTTACATTCCCTGTGTGGTAAAATAGTTGTCTTTGTTAGTTTATTATCATTTTGTTTAATCCCTGTTACAAGCAGCACATTTTGCCATGAAATCTTTAAAGTAGTCACCTCATGCTCAGCAATAGGCTGTACAATCCTTATGGGTGTTCTCTAACCCTAACCTTCAGCACCCTGATGGGGAGGCAAGTACAGGTGTGGAGGCAGGCAAGGATGGGGGTCTGCAACTGGTGCACCAAGGTAACCCGCCTCTCATATCCCGGTCCTTCAATAAAACTGTCCTTTCTCTGCCTACTTTCAGAATCACTCTTTATTTTTGGCACTGTTAGCCCCTTATTTATCCTAAAGTTTGGGTTGAGCTAGACAAGGACATTGGTGCAAGGGGTAAACTTCGTAACTTGGCATCTATTGTGGTGCAATGGTTTCACCATTAGCCTGGTTCACACAGCAGCATTTTAAAATTAACAGAAGATTTTAAAAACATGAGAGACCCAACAATTGGCAACAAAAACTTCCCAGATGTAACAGTTTTGGTCCTACAGTGTGTGGGCACATGGTATAAACAAAACACCACTCACAAGCTAATTTCACTTACACACATTCCCTGATTAGACTGGAAATCTCGTAAAACCTTTCAATATTAAACGTAGCTTAGAAATAAACCAATGTGGAAGACGAGACCTGTTGGTGGCTCAGGAGCGGTGCTTGTTTGAAACGGCTTTGGCAGCAACTTTGGACGATTCAGACATGGACTTTCTCAAAGACATGAGCAGTTACTTCTTCTTTAACTTCTCTGACAATGTGTGGTGGACTGCCCTGTTGTCTGATCTCAGTCACTATAAATATGTTGTGTGTTGTTCTGATTGGTACTAGCGATGTCCAGTTCAGTGCAGACAGTCTGAATGATAACCGTAGATTTCGCCCCACGACTGAGCTCTGTCTATGGATCAGGACTCTATATTTACATATATAGGATGACTTGCCAGGCTAGTAACCTGGGTCATCTTTAAGATTGTTGGAAGAGGGGAATCTAGTGGGAAATCTGTGTGATTATCTTGCCGTGGGAACCAGAACTTACCCTTTTCCCAACTATGTGTACTGAGTACACAACACGCACCAACTCCATCATATCAGTGCAGGGGCTCTATGATGTTTTCAGAAATGATAATAACAATACTGATATTAGTCTTGATGTTATTCAGAGCGGGATTCATCACATTTTAAAGTAGAATACAGTAAAATGTGTTTGTTTGCAGAGACTGTGAGCTGTGCATGAAGCAGTTACAGACAAAAACTGAGGAGGGAAATGAGCTGATTAATCAAACACTGAAACGGTATTGAGCCATGTCCAAAGCATGATCCATCTTGGACCAAAATCCCACTCACAGGTGAAGTACAGAACTGATCGTAACCAGGGATGTGTATTGTTGAAATTCTGGCGATACGATACATATCACGATACAGGGGAGACGATACGATATATCACGATGTATTACAATACATTCAGTCAGACATTACAAGCAATTTTTTTCACTAAATTTATTGTAAGAATGTTCAATAAA